ACCTTTCAGCAGGCGGTCGTCGTCGTGCTCGGTGCGGAGGGGGGCCAGGCGCCCCCCGCTCCGGAAGATGGCAGCGTCCCTGCCCCAGTAGTCGCTGTAGAGCCCTGCGAACAGCTCACTGCCTGCGGGGAACAGCAGGGAGAGGAGTGAGCGCTTGCTGCCGGGTCTGGGGCAGTGCGTACACCGCAGTTCCACCGCACCGCGCCGCCGTCTGCTATGAATACCACCGCAGGACATTAGTATAGAGTTAAGGGCGTGCGTGGTACAGTCAGGCCTGACTCTGGCGCTTACCAGCTGTGTGAACCTGGGCCGGTGGTTTAACCTCTCAGTTTTCTCATTTATAAATAGAAATAGCCCTCTAAAGGGTTGAGAGTAAAGAACTGAAAAGAGTAGCTGGCACATACTAAGGCCTAGATGAGCACTTATCAATAGCCTGGTTTGATCTTATTTTACTAAACCTCTTTAGCCTTCATAGCACCAGGTTATCGATTATTATTATTGGTGTTATATGTGAGTCAGCTAACTCAAATCCTTTTTGTAAGAAGAAATCGCTCCCATCAACATGATTTTAATGTGGGAACCACAAAGTCTGACCAAGTTGTATATAATCCAACTAGTTGCCATTTAATTGGTAAGTTTGTTGCTTAGATGAAAAGCTATAGAGTTCCTGATTTAATAGACCAGTCAACATAATGAAACAAGTTAGCTGCGACTCGTGGAGGGGCAGGCTTAAGGCCAGGCTGAGGAATACATAAAGGTACGCAGTGGCTCAAGGAACCAGTGTGCCTCTGCAGCCAGCCAGAAAGAAAGGCGTTAAAACAGCTTACCAGGCGAGCAAGAAAAAGCTTAACAGCTAGAAAAATATCATAGGGATATAACTGGAGCCCTAGAAAGACCAACACCTCTCCAGCATAGGGACTTGGAGTGCTCTTTTGTCAAAGTGACAACAAAAGGCAATCCGTGTGCCTGTCACCGATGCCAGGAGGATTGCTGTGGGGCTATGCAGCCTGATGTCCTGTCCCAGGCAAAATCTCTGATTAAGCAGCAAATGATTGCAGCAGACCACTGAGAATAGCAACTTCAATTTAGGGTGCTAAAATTATTTTCTTAATGAGTGTCATATAACTCTGGTCAGGTTTAAAAATAGAAATGAGGAGTATGCTAAACTCAAATTATAAATGCTTTTTTGTTAAATTTGGAATGTGTACCCATGGTATTTAAAGTGCTTAAAAGTTTAAGATAATTCAAATGAACTGTGTTTCCAGTTTCATATATATACTCAGTTTTAGACTTTGAATTATTAAAGGAACAGGTATCAAAATTTGACTAAGTATATAAACAGAATTTGAAAGAACTTTAGTGTCATATTTATAAATCTTATTGTGTAGAATTTATAAATTACTTCAATATCTATGAAGGGTTTTTTAAAATGTGAAGCCTTTAAAACTTTTAAAAACTTAAATAGATCAGACATATTTATATGGTTTAAGATTTGAGAAGTAATCAACTGAGTTATAAATGTGACACTTTGTAAGGAAGTTTATTTTCAACTTGAGTTAACTGACCTAATTTTTAAAAATATGATTGTTTTTGTTATATCAGATTTAGAAATAGAATAATGAGATATAAATTGAATTCAAAGGCTTAAATAAGTTTTTAGAAATGTAATTATAATAAACTTTTTCATTTATGAAAAAAACAAGTAACTGTAAATTATTTTACTGCTCTCAAAATTAACTATGGATACTTAAAAACTATATAGAATATAAATACAGGTTCCCCACAAGGAAATTACTTTTAAACTATACCTATTATATGAGAGAGAAACAACTGGATTATAATATTAACAATCGGTGAATAGAGGTACGTGGTAGACAGGTAATAATTGTACTCCTTTTTCAATCTTTCTTTGTATTTAACATTTTTCAAGATAAATTTCATAAAAGAGCCATATTTGTTGAATTTATCCTGTATGCTAAGTGATACATGTGATAAGAAAAAATAACAAAAACTGAAAAACAAAGATGGTTCACATCTGGCTTAAGAAAGTGTAAGTTGGTACAGAAAAAGTACACCAAGACTCTTATTTAAACATGCTCTTTGGCAATAGAAGGGGGAAGAAAGCAACATAATTTACAACAAAGTCACTAATGCTGTTTCCACCAGAAATTTTAAATCCAAAAGTGAAGAAAGAGTATTTTGAGAAAAATGCGTTCAGTGGTGAGGGATGTGAGTGAACCACACGGGACTCCGCACTCCTTGAACATGGATAAGAGGGAGTCACAGTGAATTCACTCAAGGCCCTGGGGATCGTCACCTTTATGGTATTAATGAACAAGTTGACGGCAAGAGAGTTAATTATTGAACCTCCAGGGTGAGGATTTTTCTGATATTATTTTTGTTTTTATTTTATTTTATTTTTAAAAACATTTTTATTATTACTGATTTTTAGAGTGAGAGAAATTGAGAGGGAGAAAGAGAGAAATATCGATGTGAGAGAGAGACTTTGATTGGCTGCCTCCCGCGTGCCCCTTACTGTGGGCACGAGCCCGAAACCCTGGCATTTGCCCTGCCCAGGAATCAAACCAGCCACCTTTTGGTACATGGGATGGTGCCCAACCAACTGAGCCACACCGGCCAGGGTGATATTTTTGCTTTTAATTATTATACTTGATTATATTTCCCATCTAAAAATATGAAGGCCATTTTAAAAAAAGTTTTCTAAATGTGACGTATTTTTCTAGTATAGATTGCTCTGAATGTTTAAAGCATAAGGAAGGCAAAATATAGATTTCTTAAAATTTATGAGTTTTATATTTCATAAGTTTTTAATATTTGATTTAACTTCCTAAAATATTTCTAGAACTTTCATATCTGAAATTTTTGTTATTATGGGAAACTAATCTCTGTATTAGGTCAGTTTTATTGTACTTAGGCGAATTTGGGAGACATCGTTACAAAGTTCTACTTGTTTTAATCAGTTTATAAAGTTAACAAACAAGTACCTTTTGGAGCCACTAGATGGCAACCGTATGATACCAAATAATACTGTATTCAGGGCAGGTTTTCTGTATAAAGGAATAAAAGATGATCTATTACCAGTTTTACCCAATTTCCCTTTTTTGTATCCAGATAAAAGAAAATAGTCTGTGGACAACTCAAATCACACAGTATGAACTGTGTGACTTAACCTTCAAAGGAGTTGAGCAGGTGCTCAGATCTATATGCTGTGTAAACTGAACCAAATGCGTTTCTACTAGAAACATGTTTTCCTCAGAAGGAAAAGATTCTCCTTTCATATCTTATTATTATTAGTGTGAAGAACAAAATAGATCCACAGTAAGAGATAATAATATTTGGTAAAATACTTCCCTCAGGAAAAAAAAAAAAAAAAAAAAAAAAAAA